AAAGTCATTTGTCTTTACAAAGTTGTTAGTGCTAAGTTTTTTTCCTGTTTCTGTTGAACCTGGCTTATAAAATTATGCAAAACATTCCACACTGAACCTAGTGAATAAAGGAGTTTCAGAATTGGGGGGGGGCCCTTGTTATATATAACTTTATTTAGGGGCCTAGCAATTATCTTGTGTAGGCCCACTGAGGGCTAACATTGCACATATACAAATCAAATGTTTGTACAGGGACTTCTAGACAAAAGAATCAATTGGACCATATGAGGTTGTTATTTTTTTTCTTTCTTATGACTTTATAAACATTTTAACATATTTATTAAAATTAATATAAACTAATTAGGCTTATGCAATTAGTTACAATAGGGCAGTAAACTGGATTAGAAAAACAACCAACCATAGATGTATTTTCACAATTAAAATGTGTGGATTTGGAGGCAGTTGTGTATGAGTTGAACCTTTTTTCAATTTCTGAACTGTATGATTGTGAATATACTGGCAGCCCCTAGAGTATTCCGCAAACACTGGAAATAAAGCTCAATAGCTAGAGTTCTTTGTTTTTATTCAACAGTCTTATTTCATATTACTTAGATCAAGTCATTCCTGAGAATTAGAATACTATATTGTCATTTGAAGAGTTGCTTTTTGGGGGGTTATTTTACTGTGGGAACTTTTGAAAGGGCTATAATCAAATATGGATCAACTTCTTAGGAACATGAATTTAAAAGTGTGTTTGTGTGTGTGTGTATGTGTGTGTGTGTGTGTGTGTGAGAGAGAGAGAGAGAGAGAGAGACAGAGAGACAGAGAGATAGACAGAGATAGAGAGACAGAGACAGAGACAGAGATAGAGACAGAGACAGAGCCAGACTGCCAGAAAAGAAAGAGAGAAAGACAAAGAGAGAGAGAGACACAGAGACAGAGGGATTATGGTAGACAGAACTCTATGAAACTTGTATTCATTTCCAGCTCCATTACTGCCCCCTTCTCATTTCCTTCCTTGAGTGATTGTGAACAAGTCATTGGTTCCTTAGGTTGCCTCTATCTTTTAAGTAGAGGTAATAAAACCTGCCTTCTCACTATAAATTCAATGATGTGAATGGGAATGACTATAAGGAATTCTCTCTGTCTCTGTCTCTCCCTCCCTCCCTCCTCCTCCCCCTCGTCCTCCTCCTTCTTCTTCCTTCTTCTTCTTCTTCTCCTCCTCTCTCTCTCTCTCTCTCTCTCTCTCTCTCTCTCTCTCTCTCTCACACACACACACACACACACAAACATGCACACATTCAAACACAACCACACAGCCCTTCCTCCACCCTGGACAGAAGTACTAAATCAGTACAAAGTACAACTGTAATTTAAGTTGTAGGCTGTAAAGAGAGGGAGAAAATGGCAAGTTTGGAATCTTCTGTCAATTTTTAAGCTTACATTTAACTGTGATTTTGAGTTGAGATTGGACTTCATTTGTTTAATAGGTGCTTAAATTTGGAACTAGGTTTTTTGTGCTTGTCAGCAGTTGGCTATTCTGTTCAACTTGTGGAAACTGGGCTACTCAGAATTTCTGTGAATTTTCCTTGCTTTTTCAAAGCAAGATGACTCTTGTGATTTTCCATGACAAGAAACCAACAAAAAGAGAATGGCAAGATAACACCAAGTGGAAGACTTTTTTTTTTTCAGGCCTGGGCTTGCTGATCACCTCTAGAACTTATGACTGTGAGGACCAAAATTACAGCTTAATCAGGAGTTTAAGAACAGGTAGCAGGAAAAGACTTTCTTGACAGCCCTGTTTGGTAACCTTCAGGCATGACCTCAACACCTCTAGTAACCAGGTTGTATTGTTACAGTGTATGTAAGCATTAGGTAAATATAAGCTCACCTCACCCTGGACAAAAACAAGGTGTGTAAAGGTAAAGTTTATGGAGTACACTTGGAGTAGCTAGTTCCAAAGTACTCTAAGGATGTGAGAGAGGGGAAATGACTCTAAGTCTGATGTTTTGCTAAAGCAACCAGAACCGTGTGTCCTTTAGCTGCCATGTCCACCTGTCACCTGGGTGCCCACAACAAGGCATAATTAATGTTGACTGCTTGGTAACATCTTTCTTTCAAGCTATCATTGTCACCATCACAAGATAATGGCCAAGCCCAGGAAAAAAAAAATCTCTTCTAAGAGAGATTCAAATTCACAGTGTCTAGAGGGCATGGAGAGAACAACAGAGTATGAATCTCTAGGTTCTTTTCCAGGTCTCTGAAAATCAGTATATTTCCTATTAGTGAAGGTAGGAAAAACTGGAAAAATCTTCCTGGAGCATCTAGACACTTCAAATTATTACAAATAGAGGCAAGATAACATCCTGTAAATCAAATGAAAAGGCAAGAGAATTTTTATCAGCCTCCTGACTACATTGCATGTCTAGTTTGGTTCCTGTAAAACATTAACTCATTTCTCCTTATCGGTAGTGGTTTCATAGTGGGGGATGAAGTCCAACAATGTCTAGGCCAGAATAGGTCTGAGTCCTGATTGATTTCCTGAGGGTGGGGTTGGAATGATGTGGGCTCCAGCTTGTTTTGGTGTGTCCAAGATAGAACGACTCAGGACTCAGGGTTGACAACTGGTAAACATTTACCTAGAAGTAGCTTTTCTGGCCTCTCTGTGTCTTTCTTTGGGGGAGGGCGTTTAAGTAGAACTTATGAATGATTCTAACTGAGCAGCTCATGAGCCCGAAAAGCTTTTTTGGCCAGAGAGAAGGGGAGTCAGACAGGCCAGAAGCCTTTATCCACATCAGCCTAATTTCAGCAACAGGAGGCACCACTGTCTCTGGCAGTCATCACCAGGTGGAACCTCCGTTCTGTTCAGCCAGTTATTATGGTTCAATTGTTTCCATCCTGACTTTTCCTGACCCTATTTGGGGTTTTCTTGGGAAAGGGACTGGAGCGGTTTGCCATTTCCTTCTCCAGCTCATTTTACAGATGAGGAACTGAGGCAAACAGGGTGAAGTGACTTGCCCAGGATCACATAGCTAGTGTCCGAGGCCAGATTTGAACTCAGAAAGACGAGTCTATCCACAGCACTACCTACCTGTCTGTCAATAGCTGTCAGTTAGTCAACTGGGGAAACAGAGAAAGGCAAAAACAATTCCTGCCCAAAGGAGATTGGAGGCATGTAAATAGCTAGGTACATACAGGATACATACAGGATAAATGGAGGATAATTTCAGAGAGGAAGGCATTAAGGCCTGGGGAACTGGAAAGGCCCACAGGGGTGAGATTTGAGCCAAATCTTGAAGAAATCCAGGAACACTGGGAGGCAGAGGTGAGAGGGGAAAGTACTCCAGGCATGGAGGACAGCCACTAGAAAGGCAGAGGCTGGAGTTGGAGTTTTGTGTGTAAATGACAGTAAATAGACCAGTTTAGTTATATCTTAAGTGTGGTAAGGAAGTGATAAGTGTAAGAAGAAAGGAAAGGTAGGAAGGGATCAGATTACGAAGAGTTTTAAATCACAAATGAAAAGCTTTATACTTAATGCAGATGTGTGCCTTAGGAAAATCACTTTGACGGTTGAGTGGAGGATGATTAGAAAGGCTGGGGGCAAGGGGACCAATTTGAAAGCTACTCTAATAGCTCAGGTGAGAGGCGATAAAGGCCTAAACTAGAATGGTGGATGTGAGTGTAGGGGAGGGGACCTGTGAGATATTACAAAGGGAAAAATGGTTTGGCAATGGATTGGATATATGGGGTAAAAGCTAGTGAGGATTTGAGGACAATCTCAAGGTTGCAACTCCGGGTGACTGGGAGGATAGTGAGACCCTCAATAATAATAGAGAAGTTTGGAAGATACTGGATTTTAGGGGAAAGAGCATGAATTCTGTTTTGGGCAAATTAAGTTTGAGATGTCTCTGAGACATTCAGTTTTATATGTCTAAAACGTAGTTGGTGATAGATGAATATAGCTCGGGAGAGAGGCTAGGGCTGGATAGATAGAAACCGACGTGTGTTCTGTGGAAATGGTCAAAGGCTTTAGGTATCTGCCTGTCACTGTTGTTGGCACCTGACCGACCAATGAAGAGGTATAAGTGGGAGTAGCAGGCCTGCAGGCCAGGCAGACTTAAGTGCTGGGGGAAGTGTTTGGTTAGAAAAAACAAAGTAGTGGTTCTGTTTCTCCTTCATACTTTGATTTATCTGTGCTCTCATTGTTGTGGGCGCTCCCTCCAACGATGCAGATCAAATCTGTCCAGGTTCTCTCAACCTACACTCCTCCTCTGTAGGGTCAAAATGATAGTAGGAATTACGGGAGAGAGATTTGCCACATAGGGAGTGTTCATCTCCTTTGGCAAATGGTTACCATTTATCTGAGTTTCTGTTCTAAATCATGGTGAGTCGGGGGATTAAGCAAGATTCTCAATGTGCCAAAACTTTTTCAGACTAATAAGCCAAACAGTTGAGGAAGTTGTGTTAATGCTTTCAGGGCCCTGGGTACCATGTAGTAAATTACCTCTTCATTTTGCTAAATAACCTCCCATTTAGCTTTTACCCTGTGCTATAGCAAATTGTGATACTTAGGGTACTGATCACAAGGAAGGAGGGCGCTAGACATAGGCAAACCAGGTCAATATTTCATGCTAGTGACCTACAGCAACTACTCTTGTTAGCTTGAGGCCCAGGACCTAAGGAAAAAAAAATTGGGCTGTGATCAAGTAAAAATGTCAGTAAATAAGACTCAAAGTGTTACTATCATACCTTTTAAAAGCTATAGTATTTCTAAAGCAAAAAATCATCATTATGACATTAATGAGTAGAAAAAGCTCTGATAAATATATTTCAGATTGACAGATTTTTAAAAAACCATACCTTTAGGATTAAGTTAGAATGAAAGTGCTTGTACACTTTGGTATATGCCATTTTTAATAAAAATGGCCTTGAATATACTGGAATAACATCCAGTACTCGGTTCAGGCTTTCACCATCTCTGTCACATTACTATTTTAACGAAAGAAATACAAGAGGAGAAATTATTTTCATATTGTTTATTAATTAGGAGACGCCTTTACACGTTAGGGACTGGTGCACTTAAATTAGGTTACAAATGATCATAAAAACCAGGTGCTTGTCGACAATACAACTTCAATTTCACTTAGACATTATTACATTCAGAAAAAAAAATACAATGTAAACCCAGTGGTGAAAAGTTAAATAAAAACAAAACAATATAAAAAACTTTAAAGACAGAAAAATCCAAATATAAATTAGCACACTGAAAAACAGTTTCTTGCCACATATGCAACAATGATATGAAAATGAAAATCCTTTATTCTGAATTGAAAAGTGAATCTAGCTCTCACAGAAATAAGGGAACAATTACATCACCCTGAACCAGGAAGATAAGAATGAATTGCATCTGATAGAATTCCTCTTTACTCTTCAGTCTTTGACCCAGGACACCTCTATGATCTTAGCAGTCCTTCCTTCCTCTCAACTCTTCCTTATAGGGACAGACTGATGACCTTTTGTTGTGGGTGATCAACTGTTTGAACCATGACTTTTGCCTATGGTCAAAGCCAAAATTTGGCCTTAGGTCTATGGTGTTGAAAAACCAGGGAGCTACTTCTGGTGATCTACCACACAAAGCACAGTGTTCCATGGCAAGGATGATATTCACCCAAGAGGATTCTGGTTTTCTATTTGGACAGGGTGGCACATTCAAAAGAAAGTTCCTGGGCAACAAAGGAAAAGGATCCCTGTGCCCAAATTAATCCCCCAAACCTCTGTTACAAATTTCACTATTTTACTGGTTCCAATTTAAATAGCTACTCATCATTTCTATCCATTGGTTCAAAGCCTTCATGTCATCATTGAATTCCCCTGAGTCTAGTTAATTAAAGGGAAAAAAAAATGAGTGATTAAAAAACAGCATCAAGTTTAAATTATTGAGTCCTTTGTATTTCCTGGTAAAATGGCCAATAATCCTCACGGGCTCGAATTGGTACTGTTCAAACTTGGCAAAGCATTCCTGACAGAATTCTCTTTGTTCTTTGAAGTTAAGGCACCAAGTTAAACTAAGGTGAAAGGTTTGACGTGCATCTTGGAATACGCCGGCCCCGTATACATCTCATACGAGCCAGGAGAGAACAAGCAAAATGATTCTTGTTTTAGGCTGAGGATCCTGAATGCGCAACAGACTTATCGTGGAGTTTCAAGTGGATTAGACAAACTGTTTAATGATGATGCAAGATAGTACTATAAGGCACTCCTACAGGAAAAGACAAATCAGAAGGCAAATTCAAAGTAGGAGCCACGAGGGCCCACTTGTTCACTAACTAGCTCCCTAGCCAAAAAGCCTGAATCAGAGCCAGAGCCCAGGACCATGGGTGAGGGAGACAAAGGGAGAGAGACTAGTTTGCAGCAGGGTAGTCGAAAATGAGAGATCATCTCCAGCCTGGTAAGAGTTTCTACTTAATGGGTTCCCTTCCATAGGTGCCTAAAGTGCCCCAACTGGACAACAGTCAGCTTCAATCCAGACCTTTCTACAAAGAGAGGCCCTCAAGGGCTTCTAGTCCCATGAAGAAAGGACAATGCAAAACCCCAAATTCTGTGTCCTATTTATATTTAAAAGTACTTTCCATCATGTTGGGGGGTCACTTTATGAGATGTGCCATGTAATAAGCAATGATTTGGAATAATGAAAGTGAGAAAACAAATCAAAACCCACCAACTGATAAGTCAACAGTTCTTGCCATTGCTTCTTCATTCCTCTAGCATTCATTGCTGATGGGCTGTCTAAAATCACCTTTTATTAAACTTAGAGTCTCACAGAGTACTCTAGTATGCATTAAAACAATGCCTTCCCCCAAATGGAAACAAATCAACTTCAAATTAAAACCTCATCTCAAAGATCTGTGAACCCAGTAAAACCTAGAACATTTTCTAGCACGAACAGGACCAGGTGTTGAGACCGAAGTCAAAACCAAGTACCACACGAGAACAACCAACACATGCCTGTCCAAATGGGCACCAAGCAAGGCTCATTCACCTGTAATTAGATTTAACCTGTTAACAGTCAGATACTCTCTCCCAAGAACATAAAAGACTGAGACTTAAATGAATAATCTATTTTCTCCTTTATGACAATAGTGACAAGTAAGGATAAATATTAAGATCCCAAGAACAAAGTTACAAACAGATAGCAGCATTTTAAAAAAGTAGCCTCAATTACATTCAATTTGGGTATTTAATTTTGAGCCAAATATTCCAAAGCTTTTTCCTACAGTGGTTCACAACATCCTCTACTTCTAAATTTAATTTTAGGAAAAGGTGAAACAAGAGACAAAGCTAGAGAGCGATAAAAGATGGAGAATTACATATGTCTCCTTTTACTGTGCTAACTAAAAAAAGATAATCTCTGGGTTATTTATAGACCCTAGACTGAAGCAGGATAAGCAAGTTCAAGGTTGTGGTTACAGGCTAGTTATTTCAGCAAAGTTCTCAAAGAACTACAGTTAATAGCTAATAGTTCTGTACAAGTATATATATCCATAATGTTTTGGGCTGCACTCTAGAGAAGGAGCAGAACAGAGCCCAGTTTCCACTGAGAGTGTTTCCGTTTTGCAGCTGAGTCACATCATTCTGCTTTTGTATGACTAGACAATGTACACAGATCCGAAGTCAAACCTCTGGGTGGGTTGGTGGGGTGAGGAGAAGAAATGATGTTGCACCAATGTTCAACAATGAGTACAGATGCACAAAGAGAAATGCAACTAAAGAGGGTTTGCTTTCAGTTATGAACTTTAACTGGCTTGCGGCAGGTGGCTTGGTTAGAAGAGGGGTCCTGTATTTTTGTAAATGCTTCTGCTTTTTACAGAAGCTGAGGAGAAATGAAAGAAAAATCCCTCCTAAGAAGAGTTTGGAAAATTGATCTCTTAGAAATCACAGAAATTTATTCCTAGCAACTTTTCCCCGACGTGAAGGAATGTTTGCTTTTTAGTAGCTAATCAAATATTCCAAAGGAAGATTACTCTCCCGATCTTGGGGGATGTGAAAATGACTATAACGTTGCCCCACCAAAAGGCAGAGAAGCAGAAGTTTGCTTGGTTTGTCCTGTAGAAATGTTCTTAACTTTGGGGGAAAACTAGACCCGAAAAGAAAATTTCTTCCATTTCAGTTAAGTGATTTTAAGGGCTCTGTGGCCTTCCTGTAGTGGTGCAAATTGAGGTCTATTTAAGGAACTGGCTTCTTTGCTGCACAGTTTGACTTGCCAATATTTCATCAAGATTGGACAATATCACACCCTACAATGTTTCTGGCACCGACAGAAGTGATTTCCTCAGGGGATGCACCAGGGAATTGGTTGGCCCTTGTCAGTGAAGAAATGTTCCTCGAACCTGCTGCCAGCTCTAGGAGATTAATTGGCCATTTTGTTATATGCCTCACATGCAAGACATTCAACCTAGGCTGAGAAACAGGACACACAGGAAAGCAGGATATTCATTTGGCCTTAAGAAGGTAGTGATCCATGAGGTTTGCATCCAGTCTGACTGTTTCCTAACAGGAGGGGCAAATGCTGAATGCACTGCACAAAGCCATTTATTTGACTTGAAAACAGTAAAAAAAAAAAAAAAAGTATCATAGACTCTTCTAAGGCATTCTGGGGTATAAACGGCAACTTTGCCTTTTCACTGCATATGTAAATTCAAATGTGTGTGATCCTCATCACCAGCAGATGTTGGGATGGAAACAGAGAAGCTAAGTTGAGGCCTGTCAGCCAGGGTTGTTGAAACTGGACCTTGAGGAAGCTTCACAATGACGGGAAAGGACCAAAACAGCAAGGCCACTGTTCCAGATCCGGGTGGATGACTGCAATTTCAATTCTATGTCTTCCTTTGGAAACATGCATAAAGTGATGGATGTGGACAGATTTCTCATGGGTTTCATCTGAACTCCTGTCTATCAAGGCCACCTTCATGGGCACCTTGTGAAACAAAGCCACAAGGCCTGAGAGGCCAAACTCATGTCTTTACTCCTGGGAAGATCTGAGATTGGGTAAGACTGTACAGAGATTGAGTATGTCAGGGGAGGAGAAGAGCAATCCTACTCCTCAGGTCTCCAAATGTAGCTCACTATGGCTAAGCTTAGTCGTAGCCAGATCACAGATACATTAATTATAACAAAGGCAAAAAATAAGCTACAGTGACAAGGAACTGGGGGTGGAGGGAGGAAGGCACTTTGCCATTGGAGCACATCTGTTTTATAATAAGCAGGTCTATAATTCTCTTGTGAAAGATCATGTTTTGCTATCTTCTCTGAGGCTAGAAAATATAAATACTGTATTTCAGGAACGTGGGGGGTGAGGGGAGATCAGATTGTTTGCCTGTCTGCCAACTGCTTATTTTAAAATTGCCACCCCTTTTCTTTTGTATGTAATCCATGTTGGGGAGGAGAGGGAAAAGGAAGGGTGGATAGAGTGGTGGTGGTGAAGATAACCTGTTTTTCCAAGAGGAAAAGGCACCATAAGGCTTCTTATGAATAGGCCTGGCCTTCTAACAAGTTTTCACGCCTCAGCTACAGCACTTCAGCTACTGTATAATTCAGAAACGAAACGCCTGGTGGTTAGCTCTTAAGTTGAAATGTGTGGTCTGCAATATGGGGGACCGGTGTGAGTCCAGAAGTGAAACGTTCACATATAACTGCCCGCCGGCACCAGTCAGCTTAGTTATTCCTTTGTGTGAGGGTGACATAAAAATACATGTGCGGAGCTCTGGAGAAAGGGAGGAAGAGAGGACGAATGTAATCAGGGAGGGTTCTTTGTGAAACAAAGTGAGGTGAAGTTTTAAAAACTCAGCAATAATCAAATGACAAAGAAGCCAAAGGCTTCTGATCTGCAGTGAAATGAAATGGACCTCCCAAGTCGATTAGGAATTCACCTTTAATTTTCAACACTTTAGTATTGTGGCGAGAGTTATTTTAATGGAAAGGAATGAAAGCAAATCATGTTTCCAGGGCTGTCCCACCTGACATTTCTGTCCTAGTGACAATAGTACCTGTGGCCTTTAAAAGGACACTGCTCTGGGAAAACCACGACCCTGCCCAGTAGCAAAGGAACTACTCTTCCTATTTATTCTAGCACTCATGGTTTTATTAAAGTGGATATGTTTTCTAGCTTTTTTTCCTTTTAAAGTACTAAATATTACTTATTCTTATACTCTTAGAACTCAAGTAGTATAAATAAGACGGACTGAGAAACTTAAAAAAATGACATAACATGAAAGCAGAGCTAATATTAAGCAGTAGGTTATAGACCCAAAACAATTGCGATGGGAACCAAGACAGAAGGTGGTTGGGAAGAATTTGTAGGCATTAACAGTGATTTGCCTTCAAAGACAGTGAAGGCATCTTCTCCTGGAGTGGGATCATCATAGACTGTATTTGCCAGTCTGTTAATTGCAGTTTAGGTAAAATGATAGAATTTCTTCTGAGCCCAGCCCCATTAAAAACCATAAATATCACCCCTGTTGAAAGGACACTGGGCTTTCCTATGGCATTTCTGATTTAAAATAGCTGTGAATATAATCTGGCACATACAGCCTGTGGCCACCCCATGAAGAGAATGCTGCTGGGATATATATCAACAAATGGTCTGATTACAATTTTTCATAGAAATCTTGTATTTTATCAGGAAGCAAGATTTATAAGTGTAATTTAAAAATCAGAACTAGCTCCATGGGTGAAATCAGGCTGAGTGCTATCAGAATAAGCACCCACACACAGCTTCCAAGATATTCCACTTTGTTTAGGTGAAATACCAGGTGGGGGATTATAGTTCCTATGGCAGAAACTGAGATGAGGGGACACAGCCAGTGATAGTGGGTCCTGGAAGGAGCCAAGAGGAGTCACTGTATTCTGAAAACTTTCCCATGAAACAGATGATGGATTAACTTGTTGCAATTGCTTCAGCTTCTGTGAAGGCTAAAAATAACACAAAAATCACCCGAAGCATGGTTGTTGCTTACTAAATGACAACCCCAGAATGAAACAATAAGCAAGGCAGAAAATGTTTCTGCCTATAGAATAAAATGGCTCCGGAGGGCCAAAGAGAAAAGTCTGTGACCTCAAAAGCATCATGTGTACACTACATCTTGCTTGAGATGAAGCAGCTGAAAATCCTGACAAAATGTAATCAGCTAGGGGTAATTTTCAAGCCACAAAGGCTTCGAGGGCCTTTGGACAGTACCTACGTACATATGAAAACATAAACATATATGTGTCTGTATCTCTAGCTTAAGGACAGACACATCTCCCTCCCACAGTATGTGTCTGGATCGTTCAGAAGCTGCTGTACCACCTGTTAGTGAACCAGCAGATCGTGCTCCCCCAGGGCCTGCGGCTGGCAGTCATGTGTTCTGGTAAGACAGCTCAAACATGCTGCATGCCTCTTCTAGGCTCTCATCCATATTTAGTCTCCTCCAGAAGGATTTCTGCTTCTTTTGCAGCTCTCGACGGACACACCTCGGGCAGGGGACTGACTTCACTTTGCATTCAGAGTGGAAAACTGCTCCACAGCTCTCACATCTGCAAAATCCAAGCAGGGACATAAATGAGGGAAACATAACCATCTGATGCCCAGAGTTCATGCTCCCCTACCAGATATATGCTTTCAGTGTAATAAGGGCAGAATGCAATATTTTACACAACCATACACAATACCTACTGAGAATAGCTAACAGTTTGGCTGTTTTTCCTTTCTTAAGAGTTAAAAGTTCTATTTCACTGGGGAAACAACATTCTTTCCGTTTCATAGACTTAGCACCTCCTGAGCATATGGCTGGAGGGGACCCCTCAAAAATCAACCTGCATTTCCCCAGTTATGGGTAATAATGGCTAAATCACTGCATCCTTTGGTTGTCCCACCTATGAAAAGGAACTCTGTTAGCCACAGTAGAAGAGAGTAGGCGGAGGTAGCTAAAGAATGACTGTGAACTCGACTACCAATAGGAAACCAACTATTTCCATGAACTAGTTTTAAGAGACGCAATTTACTTCTGTGAAAAATACAGATGTTTGCTCCAGGTAACAGGAGTTAAGTGGCTTCCCCTTAACTCAAAAGCCTTAGCTGAGACCTTGAAACTCAAACATAATATGATCTTCTAATTTCCGAATTGCATCCCTGCAATTCACAGAAATAAAGAGTAAACTTTAAAAGTCCATCTTGACAAAACAAAGACAAGTATTAAAGGAGAAGAATAACAGGTTTTAAAAAAATAAACAGATATTAGAATTTAGAAAGATGAGACATTCCACAAGAATGACTGGTTTGTTGTTTAGCTAAGTGAAAGCCTGTTCATGGGTTTCTGAATGGGTTGTTTCTACTGAAAACTTTAATAATATATAATTGACAACCATAACTAAAGAGGGTGGAATGGAGAGCTCAGATACTTACATTAAGTTCTCATCCTTCTCCTCTCACGTACTAAGCAGCACTCCTTGTCTCCCAGAAGTGAGGAGACTGAGGCCTGCACTTATTAGCTCTACCAGTGCTTGTGGGAGCCCTACCTTGTGCACAGCACTGGCCTAGAGCAAGGACTCGAGCAGGAGCGAGAATGAAGGACATGAAAGAAGCCAGATCCTTGAGGGTGGAGAGGGTGACTTAGACCTGTTTAGTACTCTTTTCTGCCAGTTTCTCACAGTTTAATAGGTGAAAGATCTCAAAGGTTATCTAGTCAGGGATCAGGAGGCTGGGATGCTATGGGCTGACAAGGAAAGAGATGAAAGTGCTGCCCACCTATAAAGAACGATTCCCTCTTCACTCCTCATCAATAAGGGGTATCTAGAAAAGGGAACAACTAAATGCAGTTCTTTTGGGGGTTGGAATTAAGGGCACTAGGAAGGAGACAGAATGCTATAATATGTGGTAAAGAGTGGTTGGAAGCTGGTCTAAGGACCCTGAATGCTACAGTAAAGCAGAGGAGATAGTGGCTATAGTGAGGGTAGACAGCAGACAGAGTGGAAGAGGGGAGAGGACGTAGGTTCATGATGCTGCAGTATGTGCCTTGGCTCTCCTTTCCCTGAACCAGAATACCAGAATGTGTATGGGTCTGCGTGGGTCTAGGAGTTTATAGCCTTGTTGCATGTACAAAGCCCTCTACAGAGCTGGAACCCTTCTATAGAGATCATACTAGTATAACGCAAGCAATAATAAGAGCCTTAACATCAGGCGCTGTCTAGTAGTTTATTTGAACTTAGTCCTTGGTTTCTGGTCCCCAGGGTTCTACTGCTGGGTGGAAGGGTCAGAGGGCTGGGCAATGTAACACGTGAAGGCATTCACTGCTCAACTTATGGCTCAGTAAGAGCCCAGCAAATGGGATGCTCACTACTTTCCCTGAACCAGATTATCTGTAGGACTCAGTGATTAAAACACTTTCTGGCAGAGAAAGTGAGAGGAGACCTTAGCCCTTTTGGGACAGGGCCAACTCGTCTTTAGGACACAGCTCTACACATTTTTTATTAGCTAATATGTCGGCAGCTTTTGTGATTTGGGCAGCTGAGAGTGGCTGCCCTTGACTCGGCCAAACCTTGGATGCAGAAGGTTTAAGAAGGAGTTCTGTCTAGTGCTTAGTTATCCATCTAGGATCCAGGAAGTGACGGCTCCAATAACAAGTAATAGTCATGGTGTGAGCCTCTCGCTTGATGACATGACAAAGTTCTGCCAGGTGAGAAGCATTTTGGGCTTGGGGTCAGGAAGAAAGCTTTTGGTGGAGGCCTTTAAGCAGGGCTTGAGTAAAGATCTAGCTAGAGGACTGCTTAGGAGGCTACCCTCTTCAGATAACCTGGCAGATCTGATGAATGTACTTGTATAGCAACAGAATCAATCAATCAGTCAACAAACCAGAGGAGAGGGTAAGCATAAGACCTAAAGGACTTTAGCGGGGGCAGAAAAATGAGATTAAATAGGCAAGAGAGTCCTGAGCCTATGCAGTTATAGATTAACTGGTAATGACAGATTTCCAAGGGTTATTAATATAGGGCATGCCATAGCCTAGGCTTTCAGTGCAGTGCCTTGAGTCATATGATCCACCAAGGTTAGTGGTCCTGAGTTTAGAAAGGGAAAGGAAGATCTATTAGTTAGGAAAGGCCAGGGAACCAGCCACTAGAGGTCAGCCAGAGACCTCAACTCCCCAGGGTTTATCTATCCTGGGTCCATCTAGATCTACGTTTCATTGGTGGATAAGACCTCAAAATTCTGCACTCCTGCTCAGTTGGACTGATCCTTGCCAAAGAAGGTAACATGATGGTAGAAAGAGCAATAGACTTGGAGTCACAGGGTTGGTTGCTGTCACTTATTGAATGGTTATAGGCAAGAAATTTAACTTCTTAGTTCTCTTCTCTTTAAAAGGAAGGAGTTAATAGATGACATCTAAGGTCCCATGGCCCAACTATAACAGTCTGAGTCTGATAAAGACAGACAAAGGGAATGATTAGGATCTAGCTCAGTGAGAAGAGGGCTTGCAGAAGAAAGGTAGACTGAGATAAGTTATCAGAACCTTTCTCCATGTAGGAGACTACAGAACAGATCCTCAGGTTACTGAGCAAGGAGGGATAACAGAAAAGACCACATAGACCTATCTAGTTCAAAACTCATTTGAAAAGGGATCCATTTTTAACAAACTCGACAACTGGTCATCAGGCCTTTGCTTAAAGCCCTTGAGTAAGAGAGAGCTCAGCACCCCAAGAAAGCACATTTCACTTTGGGATACTGCTCTATTTTTTTCTTTAAATAAAGACCCAAATCATCTCTTTATAATTTCTGGCTACTGTTCCTAGTTTCAGTCTCCGGCACCAAGCAGAACAAATCTAACCTTCTTCCAGGGGACGGTCTTTTAAATATTTGAAGAGAGACATCATGTCTGCTCTAAGTCTTCTTTTCTCTAAGCCAGGTAAGGAATGCCATTATCTGCTAAACTTCTTTCCATGTCATTTTTCTTATCTATAAAATACATTTATTAGTGTTATTTTAATGTTTTCTTGGCATCATCCCATTTAATATTGGTCCCCCTCCCCCCTCCCTCTGTGCCGAAGCCTAGTTGTCTGTGAGAATGATTGGAATATCTCCATTTATAGGGCTGCCTTAATTACTCATCTACCATCTTTTGAGCCTGGTACTTGGCTAGTTACTGCACTGGCAGGGATTATCTGCCTCTATGACACCCTTGCCAGTAGGGAGTGGGATCCTCTCTGAGTTGCTTATCAGTTTTGTATCCCCTCTTCCTGTCTGTTACTGGGATGAGGGGCTGAGTCTGGTGGTCTCAGGTTTCTCCTGGGACTAGCAATAACAGTGGGAAGGGCTCCCTGACCCACCAAAGGGTTTGTGCCTAGTGAAGTTGAACTGGCTTCATGCTTGTTGGTTGCACCTCGGCAAGCTCCTATCATTGAGCTGACACTAATGGTGACTTTATCAAATTATTTCCCTTCTCCTTCCGCTCCTCAGTCCACTGGGCTAGTCAGTGATTTATAAGGAACATAATTCAGTATTCTTCTAGTGCCACTCACTTATCTTCACTGATAGCAAAGTCCCCAGGCAATGGGGAGATTGTCTTATCAGAAATTTCTGGCACAATGAACACCCATGGGATGATGGCAAGCCCAAGTACACCTGCTTATTTGAGCCAAAGGTCAGCAACTGAGAACAAAGGTCACGAACTGAGAAAAGTTAAGAGATAAAAACAAGTGATTTCAAAATGGAATCAAATTCTATTTTCAGACAATTTGTAACCCAGCACGAACAGTGTAATGTGTGAAATGAACAAAGGACCTTCCCAAGCTCAGAGTTTATCGACTTGGTCCACTTCTTCATATGGAAGGAAAAACAAAAGGGAGAAGAGAGAAAATTTTATCAAGTGAAATTTAAGAATAGCTGTGCATCAATAAATTTAACACTGCTGTGTTCTGCTTACACACACATAAACACACACATATACATGCATATTGCTAACCTGAAAGACAAATTCAGAGAACAGAGGAAAATAGTGGGTGAATATTATATTAAAAAGGATTCTTCAAAATTGAAAAGCTTCTGCACAAATAAAATGAATGCATTTAGGACAAGTTGAATGGGAAAAAAAATCTTTTTGTCAAATTTCTCAGATAAGAGTTTGGTATCCAAGGCAATTAACAGAAACATATAAGATCAAAAGCAATTCAGAAAGAAATTAAGTGATGAAAGAAGATGAACAAACAGTTCTTAAAAGAGAAATTGAAAAAGTGTTACAAATCACGAATAATAAGACAAAGGCAAATTAAAACAGCAAATTGGCAAAGATAACAACAGAAGAGAATAGTCAATGTTAGATGGATCATGGAAAGACAGGCACACTTTTGCATTGTGAATGTTGTTATGAATTAGAACAACCATTTTGGAAAGCAATTATCCAATCCAATAAACATTTATTAGGTGCCTACTAAGTGCCAGGCACTGTGCTAAGCACTGGGGTTATAATTAATAAAAAGACAGTTCCTGCCTTCAAAGAACTTACACTCCAAAGGGGCAGACAGCACTCAAAAGGAGACAGGAAAGC